CAGAATAGCGCTGTCCCATCCTGCCTGCAGTATGCAAATTAGCCGCCATCTTTGTTGGCGGTTAACCGCCATCTTGGCTGGTAGTTAATTTGCATATCGTCCTGATTAGCCAATGGGAAGGGTAGCGGAGGTATGGCTAATTACCATGTTTCTCTTTTATTAGATAGGATATATAGATAATGAAGTTCCCAACCAGTCCTTGAAATAGTATATAAGGCCCAGTGGTGTGGCTCAGTGGTTGAGCGTCGACCTATGAACCAGGAGGTCATGGTTCAATTCCAGTCAAGGCATATGCCTGGGGTTGCGGGCTGGATCCCCAGTAGTGGGCATGCAGGAGGCAGCCTATCAATGATCTCTCATCATTGATGTTTCTATCTCTTCCTCTCCTTTTCTGAAGTCATATATATATTTTCATATATATATGAAATTTTAGATAAGAATTATTTGAAATTTATAAATAACTTAAATGAAGCTAGAAAGGTTATTAGTCCAGACTCATACAGCTAAAAAATAAGTGAGTGGATAAGTCTTTTCACACTGGGACCAATAATCATTCTACTACACCTCATCCTTTTACCAGGGTCTGTGCATTCTTCCCTAAAGATGGTAACTTCATAAAGAGGACATGATCATGACCTCCTTCGGGAAACCGCATCATATCTGGATTTTCCAGAGCAGCAAACTTTATCTTAAAATAATTTTAGTCTCTTCAGAGAGTTGGAAATGTCCGTGTTCCATAACTAGGTTAATTCTCCATTGTTTCACGTCTCATTGAATTATCTAGTTCCAAAAAAGTAGTGACCTTTTAAAATTGGTTTGCTGATTATGATGGTCTGCTTGGAGGCAGCTAATATTTAACACCCCCTTTCCCTCCAACCATTACAAAATGCACAATGAGTTCCTCTGCAAAGTTGCTTCATCACTCAACTGTTGGAGTTGTTATTTCTCCTGCTGCCAAATTGGTATCAATAACTTGCCTTAACTAGACTTTTGAATATTCTACCTCTTGCTTAAGTTCATTGACAGCATATGTGGATAAATATTGGAACTCTTCTCTGACTATATCATGGTGTAGTGTTTTCAAAAATTTATTTCAGATGTAGAGACACAGGTATATATGAACTAATCAAAAGATCTAATAAATATAATAAGGAATGATGTAAATTCCTCTTTTCCTGTTTTATTCTTGATCAGTTTGACTATAGTGCTTTACAGAGTGGTCCTAGGCATTTATCTTGATTCTGTCACTCACATTAGATAAACTACAAAAGACCAAAGTTACTCTAAGTTATTTATCTGTAGTTATTTTAGTCTTAAAACTTAAAATAGGATGACACTTGTATTGCTTTTCATTGCTATACTATAATTGCCCTAAACTTGGTGATTTCAAACTACTTATCTCAGAGTTTCTGTGATCAGGAATCCAAGCAAGCCTTGTTGGGTCCTTTGTTTTAGGGTCTCTAATGAGGCTGCATTCAAGGTGCCAGCTGGAGCTACAGTCATCTGTGTCCCGGTTCATTTGGGTTTTCACTCATTGATTAGTTGGTCATCAAAGTTCTGCTTCTCATGGGCTGTTGGATCAAGGGCCTCTGTTCCTTACTAGAGGCCACCCTCAGTTCCTTGGCACATGGCAGCTTGCTTCATCAAAGTATCCAAACCAAGAAGACAACAGAGTCCAACAAGAGTACAAGTCACAGTCTTTATAACCTCAGCCCAGAAATGACATCCTATCACCTTTGCCTGATTCTTTTAGAAGCAAATTTCTCATGGGCTGTTGGATCAAGGGCCTCTGTTCCTTACTAGAGGCCACCCTCAGTTCCTTGGCACATGGCAGCTTGCTTCATCAAAGTATCCAAACCAAGAAGACAACAGAGTCCAACAAGAGTACAAGTCACAGTCTTTATAACCTCAGCCCAGAAATGACATCCTATCACCTTTGCCTTATTCTTTTAGAAGCAAATCACTAGATCCAGCCCACACTCAAGGGCAAAGGATGATACAAGGGCATAACTACCAGGAGGCAGGGATCATTGAGGGCCATCTTTGGAAGCTGCCTAATACAATATTAAATCAGAAAAACTTTATTCTGATCCTTTAACTTCTTTATGTAATGGAGAGACTGGTTTAGAAATCTCGGTATTTTTCATCACACATGACAAATACGACACATCACATTTCAGTTACTGGGTCAGCACAATGTAGAATGGAAGAGGAGTATTTATTCAAAACTTTGCTAAAAAGTTATTTAGAATATTGAAAAATGAGCAACACAAACATTCAAGTAGACGTTGTCTATCCCAAGCCATAGGATGAGTGTATCTGACATTTGTAACAAGAAACAAAAACAGATTAGAATACAAATGGTCATCAATGACTCCCTGATGGGGTGATGCAAAGGCAAAGGTGAGAGGATTGATGGGGTAAAGAGTGTAGGTTGGGAACTCACTGGAACCCAACTCACCCCACCGTGTCTTGCTTCATTCTCCTTCTCTGCACTCCCTTCCCTTGGAATCCTGGAGACTCTAGATGGCTGTTATATGAAGACATTAGATTCTCTCTACCCGGGAACACCTAATTCTCATGGCTGGGAATATGTGCTTGCTGTCATCAGCACTGATGTGTTCCTTTGCTGCCTAGGAGCTCCCAGGAATTAACTAGCTGTTCAGGGTTAATATCTTTTTAAAATTTTCTTCCATGGGATCCCACATTTGCAGCGCATGCATTAAAAAACCCCATACTCTTTTGTGAAGCAGGAGAAATGAGTTTGGCAGCAGATAAAACATGCTCTATGGGCCTCCCCTCTTTGTTTGTATGTCCCACTGTGGTTACATTTGGTTTGTGCCCAGTGAGATCACTTTCATATT